CAGGAGGCAGCTGAATCAATGTTTCTCTCTCATCGATGTTTCTAACTCTCTATCTCTCTCCCTTCCTCTCTGTAAAAAATCAATAAAATATATTTAAAAAAAAAACATTGTGAAAAATAGAAACCAGTTTTTTACAATTGAAATAGGCAATGATCTGGGGGTCTTTGAATGGTGGGGTTGCACTGTGTTTTGGAGGCTTTGACACTAGATTCTCTTTTTCCCACAGAGCGCTTCGACCATCACTGCCCCTGGGTGGGGAATTGTGTTGGAAAGAGGAACTACCGCTACTTCTACCTCTTCATCCTTTCTCTCTCCCTCCTCACCATCTATGTCTTCGCCTTCAATATCGTCTATGTGGCCCTCAGTGAGTATGCAGGGCAGTGCCTGTTGTTGGAGTGGGGGTGGGATGGGAGAAGACTTGAGGACAGCTTAGGGGAGTGGTTGAGTTTCCTGGTGGGACTTTACCATTGTGAAGGCACCTTAGGACCAGCTAGAAATAATCACTACTGTCTGCTCTTGAGTAGGGCTCCAAACCTCAGCTCGCATCAATCAGTATTTACTGAGTGAGTTGGCCTTCTCACTGGCCTCTGCTGGGGACCATGGCCATAGTAACTGGTTTGTACCCAGAGTACTGGGCATTTCTGAAGTGATCCCAAAGGTTGGGGATGTGTTTTGACTGTCTTCATCCTCTCTTCTTCTGCTTTATAATATCTGCCCTGTGCCACGTGGTAGAAGGGGTTATATCTGAGAAATGTCTTTTAGTAGCTTCTGGTTTACTTTGGGAGATAGAAAATACACATAAATCAGCAGATAACAAATAAGGGCAGAGGGGATGTGGAATTAAAGGAGTGGTCTTAATCAAAACAACTTCCTGGGAAGGGATGAGTTCTCAGCTGGATTTTGAACAAAGGAAGACACGGATTGGTGAGGAGAAAGGATTTTTAGGGGTGTTTCTTATTTATTTTATCTATGAATGAATATCCCCCTCCATGCCTGTAGTGAGGGCTAAGGAAAAGGGAGGGGAGCCAGATGCTTGGCTTCTGCTCGACTCTCTAGACCAGGGGTCCTCAAACTACGGCCCGCGGGCCACATGCAAATACAAATATTGTATTTGTCCCCATTTTGTTTTTTTACTTCAAAATAAGATATGTGCAGTGTGCATAGGAATTTGTTCATAGTTTTTTTTAAACTATAGTCCGGCCCTCCAACGGTCTGAGGGACAGTGAACTGGCCCCCTGTTTAAAAAGTTTGAGGATCCCTGCTCTAGACCATTTCCAGGTCCTGCATTGGAGATGTGAACCCTTTGGTCAGGAGACTACCTCCTTGGGAGTGTGAGTCCCTTGTCTGGGCGAGGGCTTATTTCTTGCCAGCTTGTAACAAGGGGTAGGGAGGAGGAAGTGAGTAAGTACAGTATTAGGATAAGTGTGCATTTTTTTAAAATTAAAGTCACTAATTTTTTTTTCTCTACTACTACTCCCAATTTCATAGAATCCTTGAAAATTGGCTTCCTGGAGACGTTGAAAGAAACTCCTGGAACATATCCTCCCCTGGCAGTATGTCCCTGTGAATCCTTTTTAAATTACTTTCCAGCATGCTTTCTCTGCAGTTCTCCCATCATCTCATTTTTCAGACATCAGAGAGTGCCAAATTCTGGAAAAAAATGTAGTCTTAGTGGTAGCAATCAGAATGGAAGATGACCAAGACTTAAAGGGTGGCGTTTGTTTTACCCCCTTCTCTACTGCCTCCCTTTCAGTTCCTTCTGATCACACACTCACCTCTGCCTCTGAGTGGGCTATCTATGCCTCAATATATCTCTTATGTCACTTGCTGGAAGTCCACCTTCCTGTTACAGCTAATGTTTACTTTGTACAGCAGTTGCATTTCTGAAAAGGAAATTCAGATGGGATTTCTATAAATCACATCCTGTTTTTCCCACCAATTTTTCATTTATAAAGTTTTATTTTTGGATGGATTTTCCATTAGCAGTGATGGCCAGCATTGTTTAGTTTTGGCCCCCTCCTAAACATCCCCCTCAAAAAGCTAATGATCTAAAAACAGAGGAACACCTAAATGTGCTAGAGATATTAGAGAGTTACTCATAGTGAACAGACAGGAGTCCTTGACCTGTCATAAGGGATGTACCCAGCGAGTTTAGAATTCACCTGTTATGTATGGATACTTGGCCATTTGTGACATGTTCCAAGAGGTAAAGACTGGTGCCATGAGAAGGGTGAAGCATTGAATCTGCTGGTGTGGCTTCAATATTCCTTAACATCACCTCACTGTTCTAGAAGTACTCATTTGTTTCTTCACACTCTGGTCCGTCGTGGGACTAACTGGATTTCACACTTTCCTTGTGGCTCTCAACCAGACAACCAATGAAGACGTGAGTCAACCTTCCCATCTTCTCATCACATATTCTTCTTTTTTTAATGTATATTTATTTATTGATTTCAGAGAAGAAGGGAGAGGGAGAGAGACATAGAAACATCAATGATGAGAGAGAATCATTGATTGGTTGCCTCCTGCATGCCCCCCCGCCTCTCCACTGGGTATTGAGCCTGCAACCCGGGCATGTGCCCTTGATTGGAATCGAACCTGGGACCCTTCAATCTGCAGGCCGATGCTCTATCCACTGAGCCAAACTGGCTAGGGCTTATCACATATTCTTCTTTCTCCAAAGCCTATTCTCTTGTTACCTGCTAGAGAACTGAGTCTACAGGGCCTGGGAGGTTGAGACAGGCAGAAACCTAGCGTGGGAGACTGTTAAATCTGAAGTGTGGAGAAGAAAGCAGACCGCTTTGTTTGGAACTGAATGCCTGTAGAGAATTAAGAAGAAGAGGTTGAATGGTTGGGGAGGTACAAGGTCTTTAGCTATTCATAGGTCTTTAAAGACTAATTGGTGCTTCTGGATTAGGGATGGACAAGGACAGGTGCACGGAATAAATCCTTGCTTTTTAAAAGTTACCAATTAACTCATGTTCATTGCAGAAAATCAGAAAATACAGATGAACAAAAATATCAAATAAGTCCCTGTAACTTTACCTTCTATACATTACCATTGTTAATGGTATGATTTATAGTCTAGAGTTGTCTAGACTTGTTCCTGTTTGTTTATGTGACTATATATTTTGAATTTTTAAATGAAAATATATACATATAGTTTAGTTATCTGCTTTTTTTCACTCTATTGTGGATATTTTCCCATGGCTATGCATTGTATTTCTTTTTTTTCTATTGTGGTAAGATATTCATTATATAAAATGTACCACCTTAACTATTTTAAGTGTATAATTCAGTGGCATTAAGTACATTCATCTTGTTGTGCAACTATTACCACCACCCATCTCCAGAACATTTTCATCTTCCCATGCTACATGTATTTCTTCAACATAAATTTTAATGTAAGCCTTGGCTTTTATCTTGCAGATCAAAGGCTCATGGACAGGGAAGAATCGAGTCCAGAATCCCTACAGCCATGGCAACATTGTGAAGAACTGCTGTGAAGTGCTGTGTGGCCCCTTGCCCCCCAGGTACTCAAGGGACTAGAAGGTCCTGGGACTCTTGGGTTGAGCAACTCAAGCCAATCCTGTTGCCTGGTATGATGCCTCCTTCTGAATGTGACCTTTTGGTGTCAAATAGGACTTCCCAGGGATTGTCCCTTGGTGCCATATCTACATGGACCATAGACCACAGGATGATTATTTTAAAGAGATGACCTTTCATTCTTATTTCATTTGTTTCTTGCCCTGGTTAATGTAGTATGCCCTGGTTTGTGGAAGAGAAAGTGAGTGGAAGATAGGAGGCATGTGCTAGGATCAGGCTAGACTGCCAAAGGGCAGGTTTATGTTTTCCAGTCCACACAACAAGGTTCAGAGGATGGGTAGCTGGAGGGGGAAATGGGAAGTGCTTTATTAACTGTCCTGTCTCCTTCAGTGTGCTGGATCGAAGAGGTATTTTACCACTGGAGGAAAGCGGAAGTCGACCTCCTAGCACTCAAGAGACCAGTAGTAGCCTCTTGCCACAGAGCCCGGTAAGTGTTCCCGACTTCACGACATTAAGGCTAAGCTGGTGATGGAGAGTGTAGGCTAAATTTACACTTTAGAGATACAGTTAGGCAATTTTGTGTTCAATAGCCCTAGCTTCCCTGTCTCTGCTTTTGCCCTGACATTGCCTCAGATCTTTGTGCCCATGTGGTATAGATTAGGATCTATTCATTTCTTCGACATTCTACTGTGCAAGATGCAGGACACACTAGTGAACAAGGCAAACCATGTCCCTGCTCTCAAGGAGCTCACTGTCCAGTGAGGCGAATGCTTTTTGTAAAGTAGATAATTGTTCTCTACTTTGCTTTTCCTAAATGTTGAAGTTTCTTTTTTGAATTATAGCAAACCCATTTTTATATATTATCATCATCATTTTGAATATAATGTTTCTGATAAGTCTGGTCTTAAATCCTAACAATTTAGATTAGTAACTCTCAGTTGAATGTGGGGAAAGGTGATATTTTAGAATCGCTCTGGGGGCATTTTCAAACCACATATATCATCTAAAAATGTTGCCACCCCACACTCTTTGGTTTAGAATCACTGTTTTGGAGAGCCAAGTGTTAGGGCAGAAACAAGATTGAGACCCACTGGGTCAGGTCTTATTATACAAGTACGTTATAACATTCTCTTGTGAAGGAGAGGGGCCTCTGTAAGGATCTGTGGTCTCTATTATTATTATTATGAATAATAATGGAAGCATCTCTCCATAACAGTTAAGAATAGAATTCAAAGAAACATCATTTGTACTCTGCTGAGAAGACAAGGATAATCTGGTCTTGGTTCTGAGTTTGGTGCCGGTGGTTGCATATCTGTAACATCAGTGTGGTTGATGGGTTCAGAGGAAGAGCTCAGTGTCTACTGATTATCTCCATTTGGATTTTGAAGATGGGCTTATTTTAAAAATATATATTTTTATTCATTTCAGAGAGGACAAGAGAGGGAGAGAGAGATAGAAACATCAATGATGAGAGAGAGCCACTGATTGGCTGCTCCTGCACGCCCCACATGGGTGATCGAGCCCACAACCCAGGCATGTGCCATGACCAGGAATCGAACCGTGACCTCCTGGTTCATAGGTCAATGCTCAACCGCTGAGCTACACTGGCCGGGCAAGGATGGGTTTTGTTTTGAATTTGGTATCCTTCCCTTCTTAGGCCCTAACAGAACATCTGAGCTCAAATGAGATGCCGGAGGACAGCACTCCTGAAGAGATGCCACCCCCGGAACCTCCAGAGCCACCACAGGAGGTGGCTGAAGCTGACAAGTAGCCCATCTATGGAAGAGACTTTTGTTTGTGTTTAATTAGGGCTGTGAGAGATTTAAGGGGAGAAGATAAGCCTGAGACAGAGAACAAGTAAGCTATTTTTCTTTGGTCTTTATTCAGCCAATTGCACACTGGCATTTTCTTGCTGCAAATTTTTTTTTTCCTGGACTCAAGGCAGTCACAGAAGATGTCAGTAACCTCTGGTAACTGGACAAACGGGTCTCTTGGGCCCCCGCACTGGTTTTCCATGGAGTCTCCTTGGACTCCCCTTTCTTCCCTCCAGATCTTAGCTCTCCTGCTTGGTGTGGTTAGTCCATTTGTGGGGTTAAAGGTTCTTGAGACTGGCTCAGATCATCTCCAGCCGCTGCATGGCAAGAGTCCAGAGGTGATCACAGAGAACTCTGGCTAGGGAATCCTAACTGGATTCTTGGGGCTTCATAATTGAAGAGGATGGAGAGTGGGGTTAGAGGATTCTCCTGGCTACAAAGTGCCAACATTGCCCACAAATCCTTTCAGGAATGGGGCAGGTAGCTTCCACTTGTTGTATTTATTCATGTAGTTTCTCCTTTGTCCCCCATCCACTTTCTAACCCCCAAGCCCCACTCTTTTCCAATTAGAGATATGTAAGTAGTTGCAGTATAGATAACAATTTACATGTCTTATAGATTACCCGGAAACTTTTTAATACCTGTGCCATTCTCATTAAGAATTCATGAGATGCCAACGGCATCACCCCTTGCACTCTCTGTCTCTTATCTCCTCCTTTCTTACTAGTCCCATTTAATTTGTTTTCCTTCTGACTCTTGCTCTTTTAGGAGCAGGAATGGCAGTAATAAAAGTCTGCACTTTGGCGATTCCTCTCCTCAGAATAAGCCTGAGTGCTCACTTAAACACTACACCCCCCAGACTCCCTGTGTGAGGCCTGCAGAGGCCCTGAATGCACAAATGGGGAAACCAAGGCACAGAGAGGATCTCCTCTCCTCTCCTCTCCTCTCCTCTCCTCTCCTC